GAGGGAGCCAAGCGGCCGCAAACGGATCCTCCGCGGTCACCCCAAAACCTTTCCCCCAGCAGAGCCCAGCGGACGCGTCCTGCAGCCCGGGGCAGCGGGGGAAGTCAGGGCACGGGGCTGCAAGGAAGGGGAAGGCGGCAGCCACCGACCCACGCTAAGCTCAGGGAACGCGCACACGCGTTGGCTGAGCCGCTTTTCAATCCCAAACGGGTGTTTGGATGGAGCAGCGCTCCCAGCCCAGCAGAAAAAGTAGGATTTGGATGGCCCACGTCACCCGGGAACTCCCCACGGCCTCACCCCGAAGCTTTGGCAAAGTCTCCCCAGGTGTCGGCGGCAGACGGAGAAGCAGCGGGCTGCGGCCAGGACAAGAGGGAGTCTGTCGGCGGCCAGGGAAGTCGGAAAGAGAGAAAACACACATCAGGACTTATTTCCCGCTCTCATTCCCAGATTCCCTCTCCGTTTTCCCAACGCTGATGGATGAAACTGTCTCTAAAGAGCTTTACAGTCACTGCGGCGTGACCACGGACCTGTGATGGGGGTGCCCGGGAGCTGGGCGGGCGCAGAGAGCGAAGACGGACGCTCTCCAGAAGGACAAACCGGAGCAGATTTTCCCCCGGGAGGCGGTGGGAGCAAGCTCAGGGTCCCAGGAACTGTGGGACGTGGCCTGGTGTTCCCTGTTGCTCCTTCTTTTTTCTTCATGTTCTGAAAGAAGAGAGGGAAATTTGGGTGGTATCATGTTTAAATCCAGAACCGGAGCGTGACTCCTCCCAGCCATGGCTCACACAAAGTCAAATTGCTTCATTCTGGACAAAAAAGTGCCGTGCTGGCACATTCCACTGCTGGGGCAGCAAAAGGGGTCAAGCAGAGGATGGTTTTTACCAGCAAATCCCCACCACAAACCCACCGATGGGGTTCTGTAACAGGGGACCGTAACACAACCCCTCGGTAACGCACACAGCGTTACCACGCAGGGCTCAGCACCGGGCTTCCTCCTGCACAGGGATTTCAGGGAGAAGCTGCTGCTTCCTCTTGTGCCACCCACAGGAAAGGCTGGGTGCGGATTTAGCCGGAAAAGTCCCTCACCGCAATGTTGAGTTTGATGGTTTGTCCCTCCTTGAAGCCCAGATCCAGTTTTGGTCCCTGATCGGGGTTCTCGGCCTGCCTGGCCAGCTCGCTCTGCTGCCTCACCCACCTGCAGGAATTAAATAAACCAAAAAGGACACATCAACCACCAGCCCGAGGCTCCCCCAGACAAATCCTGCCCAAGATCACCCCCTGTGCCTGGCAGCAGCCCTTTAAAGGCGCTGGATGTGATCCCAGACCTTGCCTGCTGGAGCAACGGGCGACAGGCAGCACCCAGGGACCGATTCCCACCAGCAGAAGGAATCTTCCAGCCCACAGTGCAATCCTCCTGCCCCAAAACCCTCACTCCAGCAGCTGGAACAGCACCCCAGACTCTCAGGAACAGCTCCTTACTAGTGGCATGTGAAGAGAAGGAACGGAATTTGGGAATTTGCCCAATTTTGGACTAGATAGCCCAGTTTGAGACCCTGTTAACACAGACGGGGGAAGTATTTGAGAGCTGCCTGCACAAAGGCAGTGGAGAGGAAAGGGCGTTTCCACCTCTTCACACCAGGCTCGCCCGCTCGAGCGCGACAGGAGCTCACAGCTTCCTCTCCCCCACCGTTTCTGGCAGACACCTGCAAAAAATGTCGAGCTGAGAAGCCACAGGGAAGAGTCACGAACTCACTTAAAATGGTCTTGGAGAGCCACGTTGAAGTCAAAAGCATCCCCTCGGTCAACAAAGCCGACGCCGATGAAAGCCCGGCGGCCTGGGGAAGGAGGAAGAGTAAGGGCTGGAACCGCAAAGCAGC